TCTGTGTTTGGTGGTTAAGGAGAATGGTGTGGTAGGCATTGTTGGCCTCCCTCATCCTGCTCGACCTCTTGCAACAGATGAGGCAAACGCATCGGAGCATGTTGTTCAGCAAATGGTCGAGGAGACTCCGGAACAACCTGCACAACATCACCAAACTACGACTCAAGCCGGACCATCCACCGACAGCTACATATCCCATTTTGAGGCATTGGGTCGGCAGAATGCCCAAATTCTGGAGCAAAATGCACTCATTCTCTCCCGCCTCGATCGAGAGAAGGAAGCTCGACGCTACATCATCGAATGCAACCATCAGATCATGAGGTCCTTGAGGATTGACTACGAACAATTCTCAAGACCTTGGGAACTATCTCCTAGGCCAACCGAGGAGATCAATGAAGAGGGAAGTGAAGAGGATGACGAGGGTAATGACGATGAGCAAAACAAGGAAAAAAATCAAGAGGACATAGGAGAGGAACAAAACAAGGAAAGCAGTGAAGAGGACAATGACACCAATGAGGAAGACAGCAGTGAAGAGGACGACGACGAGGGCAATGGCGATGACCAAAACAAGGGAAAAAATCAAGAGGTCAGAGGGAACGATGAGGAAGACAGCAGTGAAGAGGACGACGACGAGGGCAATGGCGATGACCAAAACAAGGAAAAAAATCAAGAGGAGAAAGGAGGGGAACAAAACAAGGAAAGCATTGAAGAGGTCAAAGGGACCGATGAGGAAGACAGCAGTGAAGAGGACGACGACGAGGACAATGGCGAAGACCAAAACAAGGAAAAAAATCAAGAGGAGAAAGGAGAGGAACAAAACAAGGAAAGCAGTGAAGAGGACAGTGACACCAATGAGGAAGACAGCAGTGAAGAGGACGACGACGAGGGCAATGGCGATGACCAAAACAAGGAAAAAAATCAAGAGGAGAAAGGAGAGGAACAAAACAAGGAAAGCATTCAAGAGGACAAAGGGACCGATGAGGAAGACAGCAGTGAAGAGGACGACGACGAGGGCAATGGCGATGACCAAAACAAGGAAAAAAATCAAGAGGAGAAAGGAGAGGAACAAAACAAGGAAAGCATTCAAGAGGACAAAGGGACCAATGAGGAAGACAGCAGTGAAGAGGACGACGAGGGCAATGGCGATGACCAAAACAAGGAAAAAAATCAAGAGGTCAAAGGGACCAATGAGGAAGACAGCAGTGACTCTAGCGAGGACAATGAAGATGAGCAAATCCAGGAAAACAAAGACGAGGACGAGAACACTAACGAGAAAGATGGGCAGTGAAGATGAGCCAACCAAAGTCCTTAGTACTTAGCTATGTGTGTTTGCTTTTGTGCTTGTATGTTTTCGAATTAGAATATTATGATGCACCAGTGTGGGCTACATGCATCTAAACTTAAGCATTAATCGTGTTATGGATGTTTGTTTTATAAGACAAATGTAAAGCTTTGACTGCTTTTTACTTTTGTTAACAGGGTATCTCATCTGATATGATGTACAGTTACTAGAGAAGGATCTATGTAATGCTCGTGTCAAGCTTCAAAGAACATTATGACTCATCTTTTCATAAGCTTGTAGTTTTCACAAACAGTATATTATGTTACTTGCACCATTATAATAAGTACAAGGGTTAGTTGTACAGGTGCATGTCTGTGCAGACTATTTCTGGAAATCTCACGGCCAATTCTGGAAATCCCACGGCCGTGAAAGAAGACGTGGTTTTGGATATGTAATTCTGGAAATATCACGGCCGTGAGATAGGCCGTGAGATAGGCCGTGAATGTAAAAACGCACGTCTCAGTTTCCCAGAGGGTTTCACGGGTTGCTTTCGACATTATCACGGCCGTGAGATGAGCCGTGTTTTGGAATTGAATGCTGTACCTCTCACGGCTCATCTGTTGATTCTCACGGGCGTGAGAATAAGCCGTGTGATTGTCTGGAGATAGGAAAACTACTTTTGCTTGTCACGGGTCATGTCACGGCCGTGAGATGAGCCGTGTTTCCTCAAAATTGTACCTACACTTTCTAGAGTTGTACCTTTACACTAAATTTAAAGTTGTACCTACACTTTCCTAAAAATTGTACCTATACACTATAGTACAACTTAATGTTGTACCTACACTTTCTAACAAATCCCTCTATGGTACAACTCAAAATTGTACCTATACTAATGGTACAACTTTTAGTTGTACCTACACTTTCTCAAAATCCTTCTATGGTACAACCCAAACTTGTACCTATACCATGGTACAACTTTAAGTTGTACCTACACTTTCTAAAAATCGGTCTATGGTACAACCCAAACTTGTACCTATACCTTGGTACAACTTTAAGTTGTACCTACACTTTTTCAAAATCCTTCTATGGTACAACCCAAACTTGTACCTATACTAATGGTACAACCTTAAGTTGTACCTACACTTTCTCAAAATTCTTTTATGGTACAACTCAAAATTGTACCTATACTAATGGTACAACTTTTAGTTGTACTACACTTTCTAATAAATCCCTTTATGGTACAACTCAAAATTGTACCTATACTAATGGTACAACTTTAAGTTGTACCTACACTTTCTAATAAATCCCTTTATGGTACAACTCAAAATTGTACCTATACTATTGGTACAACCTTAAGTTGTACCTACACTTTTTCAAAATCCTTCTATGGTACAACCCAAACTTGTACCTATACTATGGTACAACTTTATGTTGTACCTACACTTTCTAACAAATCCCTTTAAGGTACAACTAAAAATTGTACCTATACGAATGGTACAACCTTAAGTTGTACCTACACTTTCTAACAAATCCCTTTATGGTACAACTAAAAATTGTACCTATACTAATGGTACAACCTTAAGTTGTACCTACACTTTTCAAAATCCTTCTATGGTACAACCCAAACTTGTACCTATAATATGGTACAATTTTAAGTTGTACCTACACTTTCTCAAAATTCTTTTATGGTACAACTCAAAATTGTACCTATACTAATGGTACAAATTTAAGTTGTACCTACACTTTCTAATAAATCCCTTATGGTACAACTCAAAATTGTACCTATACTAATGGTACAACTTTAAGTTGTACCTACACTTTCTAATAAATCTCTTTATGGTACAACTCAAAATTGTACCTATACTAATGGTACAACTTTAAGTTGTACCTACACTTTCAAAAATCCTTCTATGGTACAACCCAAAATTGTACCTATACCATGGTACAAATTTAAGTTGTACCTACACTTTCTAACAAATCCCTTATGGTACAACTAAAAATTGTACCTATACTAATGGTACAACCTTAAGTTGTACCTACACTTTCTCAAAATTCTTTAATGGTACAACCCAAACTTGTACCTATAACATGGTACAATTTTAAGTTGTACCTACACTTTCTAATAAATCCCTTCATGGTACAACTCAAAATTGTACCTATACTAATGGTACAACTTTAAGTTGTACCTACACTTTGTGAAACAAATTCTTCAATGGTACAGCTGAAACTTGTACCTATACTAATGGTACAACTTTAAGTTGTACCTACACTTGTATACATTGATTCATTATTTACAAGATTGCCATTAATGATGTGGGACCAGTCATTTAGTGGGTTTACCTCCTCAATAGGTCACCTTTTTTTTTTGTTTTTTATAGCATGGGTGCTATAGAGCACACTAGAAGGGCTCGATGTAAAGAGATTGGTTTAGTTTTCGAGGCCTCGCTCTGTTTGGCAACAAGGGGGGTGCAAATTGCAGGAGGGTGCAAGTTGAGGGGTAAATTGCTGGGGGGTGCAAATTGCTGGGGGGTGTAAGTGGAGGGGTAAATTGTTGTTTGGATGAAAAAGTAGGGGGGTGCAAATAGAATGAAAAGTAAGTAAGTATATTATTTTAAAATAGATTTTAGATTACAAAATAGATTTTAAAATTTTAAAATATTATCATAAAATAATAAAATAAATATTACTATATAATAATAAATATACTTTACTAAAAATAGTTATTATATAATAATGCTCAAATAATAATTAATTATGACAATTGTATAATCATTGATCGAGCGATCTCAAAACTCGAAGCTCAACTTGTAACTGGTCATCCTATATAGGGTTTTCGTGTCTAGTTTAATCTTAAATTGTCAAACTTAGTCAAACACGTTCGAATTTGTAAGTTTTAACTATTTAGTCAAATAAACTGAGTTAACCAAACAATTTCTCTCTATCTTTTCCAAAACACCTCGTATCTCTAATTTTCAATGCAAATTCGATTCAACCAAGAGATCTAGATTTGACTTGACGAACATTGATAAACTTGTTTCCAGAGTCAAATGGTCAACCCCGAATAATGTTTACATTAATAATATTTATAAAAAGAAGAAATTGATAATATTAATTATTATATAATTATATATAACACAATTAGAAAAACAAAATTCCATAATTCCCCCCTCCCCTCTCTTCCTTCCTTCCCTTGCACCCCAATTTGGGGGGTAAGCCGAAACAGTAAATTTGCACTCCCGTTTTGCACCCCCCCTACTGTTCCAAATTAACCAAACAGGTGCAAATGTGTTGGAAACTGTATTTACCCCTCACATTTGCACCCTCCTCCCATTTACCCCTCTTCCCAAACAGAGTGTTAATAGATTACCAATTACTGGCGTCGGGTTTAGTTTGACACCTGTAAGGAGAATCGCCTGAAGGGAACACAAACAATGGATCCATGGGCCTAGAGGGAGGAAGAGCATATCTTGAGATGGGTTCGACGACAAAACTCACAAGAGCCAATCCAAATATACCACTTGATTAACTAACAATGACATTGTCGGTCGTTTGGACACAAGTGCGAACATTACAACAAGTTACATAGCTGCCAATCAAGAGATTAAAAAGCACCAATGGGAGCTAATTTTACACTACACATCATTGTTTCCCAAACAAAAAAAAAAAAAAAAGAATCAAAGTAGCAATGAGAAAGGGCTTCGACCATTGCCTATTCCCTCCCCCTTCTTTTGATTTCTTTGTGGTTTTTTCAGTTTTCTTGCCCTATATAAGAACTGTCTTCCCTACTGTTCCAAACTAAGCGCAATGCTAATACTTACACAAATTGGAGCTTCCATAGAACAAGATATTCACAGGGCTGCAGAGGGCAAATGATCAGTCCGTGCGTTGCAGGAAGGAGAAGCCCGAGTTTTCACGGATCAGAGGTGGTGGTTCGATCTCAGCAACTTCGACTTGCTGCATTGACTTGGAAATGTCGTCTACTGTGAATGGTATACTGCATTCCCAAAAACAAAAAAGATTAATGGTTTTCTACTTTCTAATGGATTAAGTAAAACCTTTTCATTCTACAAAAGAGGAAGTTGAATTGATGTTCATACCTTGAATCGTCATCCAACAAGAACGAGCTGCTGACAGCGTTATTCGTGTCCTCTGTCATCATGACTCTCATGTTTGAGATGACCTGAAAGAAATCGGAAGAAATACCGTTACCAAAGAGACAAGTAACCATCCGGAACACT